AGATATATTAGACTTAGAGAAGATAAATATAAACACACAAAATACTGTGAGGTCTTCAAATGCCATTATAGTTTACTCTTCTGAAAGGCCTGCCAAGGTCAAGTACAATTCTTTTTGCTGTGCTTTGTTACTCTGGGCCACTCAACAATGATTTTGAAATCATATATGATATTTGCTCTGAATTTAATACTTATTTGGATACCTGGGTTTACTTTTAAGAGGAAGTTGTATTAAGTATCTGTGAGGTATCTAACCCCTTATCGATTACATGGCTTATTTCAAAGAAAGCTAAGAGCCCTCTGAGCTGTGTGTAAAGTGGACTAGAATAGATAAATTCAAGTCTCTGTGGGCTTGTCAGCTCAGTAGGAATAAAAAGGAAGCGTGTTTCGTTTTATATGTCATCTTTTCACCTGAGAACACTGAGTGCTTACTAGTTCAATTCTAGAGCACCTTTGTTATATCATCAACGAAATAGTTAGGCTAGATTTTGGAAATAATCTATATTTCAGTAGAATAGTCTCCCTTAACATTTGTCTTTTAATAACTTTTTCTAAGGATCGGATATATGGATTATGACTATTAGAATGAAATCTGATTTTATTAGAATGAAATCACTTTACTCCTGTACAAATAGCATTTTTATTTTTCTCTCACTTCAGAGGTATAAATCAAGTCAGTAGTCGCCCTTTAACAGCAGATAAATTCCTCGCCTTTCAGATGGACACATGAAAGCGACCCCACTTGTGCTGCACCTGGGGTCAGTTCCTTGCTTTTTCCAGATCGCCATGACACCGATGACAGCATTTTGATTCTAGGCATGGCTTTTTCTTTCCAGTACAATACTGCAATGGTCTCAAGCACTGACCTGGTTAGTAATGTGTTAGTCAGGGTAAAAACGGTATGATAGAAGTGGGGGCTGTAGAGCTAAGGATGAAAATAGTGCCATCTGATAGAGAAGATCACTGAAGTCGTTCTGTTTAGATTGATCCCAAAATGGCCATTTGTGATTTTCGATGTAAACACGTCTACGACAACCATTTTCTTCAGAACAACTTTTACTTATTTGTTATAATTTGTTCTTTGATTGGATCATGGAAAATGCCATCACAATATAATCACTATTCATTATTTCCCACCTCCTAGAATATCCCAGATGCCACTTAATGGGGACACATATAATAGGAATTTTTTTTCTGACACTTGTGACAGCTGTGGGGATGTTTTATCAGAATTACCTTTTATTTAGCAAATACATCCTTTCAAACTTTTAGTTGTTCTTATTTTCTTTATTGATTACTGACATATCACTTGTGGTTTTTCATGAAAAAGGCTAATCTCTGGAACGTTAAAGTTTTCCTTCATAGTCGTTGGAAGATCTTATGAGTTGATAGAGCTGGTTGTCCTCATAAAATATATAAACACTTTGTGAGTGCTAGATTACCTTCTTGAATGTAACTTCTTATATTTCTTGGGTGACCAGTCTCTCTGTGCTTAAAGTAGGGGAAACGTACAGTTACTCATGTTTCTATGCCTGGAAATAGTTTATGGTCAGCATACACGCTTCTTGATTTACAAGCAGTCTAAGGATGGTTTTAGGCTATTTTCTATATATGTAATACATAATAAGCAATAGATTTCGGTGATAAATTTAAATGAAATTCCTATGTTGTGGTAAGTAAAACATATGGACCAAGAAAAAAAATCTATGATTTTCTGAGTATTGTCATTCTTTGAAAGTATGGATTGAAACGGACACTCTACTAAGTAACATAGTTGACATATTTGTGAAAAGAGTGCTATACAACCAGAATGTAATTTGGTAGAATATAATCCCTTTAATTCAGTAGAATGTAATCCTTTTCATGGTGAGGAGTTTGTCCTGTTTACTTCTGTTTTTCCAGTGATTTATTGAATGTAAACAAAAGATAGTTAAATGAGTAGACTAAGAAATTACAGTTTTAAGTTTGTTTGCTGATGTGTAGTTTTCCTTAAGTTTTTATCTAATTAGAATAAAAATTTAAGAACTGAAATCAGTATTAAAAGACTGATGTATGTACCAAAAATATATTTCATTCTTTTCTATACAAATGGCCTACATATGATTGACAGCATATTATTGTTTGGCTTTATTGATAATTACTCATTTTGCTCCACATTTGTATACTTTTTTTGTGTGTTCAGTTGGGCATACTTATTTTCAGAAGATTTGAATTTTATTTTACAGTGTAAATTTAAAAATGTGTAATTGTTAAAAAATTATTTCTGTGGAAAAAAAATGTTTTCTTCCATACAAGATGAGGGAATTATTTAGCATTTATGGAGAAACAAACTCTAGAGTTTTATTTGTTATAGGTAAAGTTTGTCGTTGCATCCATATGGTATTACGAAATTGTAAGTTACATGCTTTGAGTACTTTGACCCATGCTTAGTTGATTTTATATGAGATTTACGGGGAAACAGGAAGTATGAAATGCCATCCTTGTTATTGAAGCAAATGTCTTTTCTCTCTTACTGGCAATTTAGATTAAAATTTAATCAAGTAAATATGATTGTGTTTTGCTTTGAGCATTTGTATTTATTTGGCTGTAACAAGAATACTTCACTTCATTGCTCACTATTGGGTGTCTATTCAGAGCGCTTGTTTGCCACAATTTTTCTAAGAAAAATGTAGCTTGAAATGGATTCTCAGCTTTACAATATGTTTGCTGTAGTTCTTCATGCAGATAGGTTTAAAAGATACATATGAGATACCTGAGAAAGTTCTTGCTGACTTGTACAATACCTGCATCCTAATAGGTCATATTTCAACTTCTATACTTTTGACAAATAGCCTAGTTCTAAAAGGCTCTGTCCGTGGTTCTGAAACCTCTCATGATGTATGAGCATGTCTTGCTGATAAATTCTAATGTCAGCCACTGTGTGATAGTGATTCATCAGGTTGTAACAATTTGTGTTTGGGAAACACATTGAATTAGCAAGTCTTGTATTCTGGTTGTATTAAATTAACACAGTTTGTCCTTTCATTTTAAAGAGTTCATAGCAATTACCTTCCACATTGTCAAAAATAGCTAGAATTTAATTAGAAACCGCCGATTCTATCACAAAAGCAAATGTCTGGTATTAACAAATAAGATGATGTGACTACAGTGCTAGAAATGTTTACAGGCCAGTGACAAGTCTATACTATGCAGCAAGCTAGAGTAAGAAAGTTAAACACTTGGTTATGACCAGGCAGGGTGACAATTAACACGTAAACCTTGTAGCTTTGCAGTGATGAGTGATTTGCCTATAAAATTATGGCTTTTTATCATATATGTGTATATATATATATGTATACATATACATATATATATACACATACATACATATTTACTGTTTCAAGATATTTCCTTTGTACACAAGTACATTTATTTTGCAGGATTATGAGTTTTTGTTTATAAATATGACTAAAACCCTAAAAGATCTTGGCTGTTTTTTCCAAGTAAAATTCTTACATTTACTCTATGAGATTCTTAATAATTACTAATGTTCTTGGCATTTCAGTTTAATGATTCTCAATTTTTTAAGCTGTGTTCTTTAGGTGTCTTAAATCTAGTCATAGAGAACTACACATATATATATATTTTTTTACTCGAAATTTGAGAAATTTTTTTCTTTTCATGAGCCAAACTGTCTTCTTAAATTTCTATTGAAGTCTGGAATTATCTGATGCATGCCATTTTTATGTTGGAGTGAAGTAAATAAAAGAGAGAATTTCATAAAATTGAACCTATAAAGTTCTTCTACTAACCCAATAAATTTTAAAGTAAAATGCTAAAATTTTAGTCTTGGAAAATTCTAGTCTTCTAACATTCTAGATTCCACTCTAGTTCTGAGGAAAAGGACCATCATCCTCTTTCATCTTAACAGACTTCAAGTCAGCACCAACTTGCTTAGTTGCTGTAAAAGTACGTAAACCACCTTCTTTTAGGTCCTGTTGAACATGTTTCATTGCTGTGTTTGCCACACAAGAAATAATTAGATTATTTACTTGTTACTGCAGTGAAGCTCATTAAGTATTTTAGACTCACAGATTTGAAAATTACACCTCGATCATAAGTCCTGCCAAAATCTGGCAACATTTTGTGCAAAGCAAGTGTCTTAAAGTTGAGTTACTACTAATTATTAAAATAAGACTTTCCGTTCTTTATATATTGGATATACATTATGTGAGCTTAATAATTAAATTCACTTCAAGAGCTTCTTGTTAAGAAAATCTATAAGTGAATACATAATTTCCTAGTGGACTTGTTTCTGTCACTAGTTAAAGGGTTAAATACAATGTTTTGATTGCCTTTCAATATTGATAAATCGCTTTCTCAAATTCATTTTCGTGCATTATAAAAATGTAGTTACAGGACCCAGTAAGAGTGTCTTACTCCTAGCATTCCAAATTTCATCAGAGAAAAACATTTTGTTTTTTAATGTTGTCATTTAAATGACATCTGGTCAGGTGTCATTTCCCAGAAATTATTCTTTATTTAGAAACAAAAACAAGACAAAAGCAATTGATTTTAATCCAAAATGTATTTTTCCTTATAAAAGAGGCCCACATACTTACTGTATCTACTCTACAGAATTTGTCCGTTTTATTACACCACGTGTCGATTCAAGTTTATCCGGTCACCGCAAAAACTCGTGGCTAATATGTGTGATACAACACAGTAGGAGGTATTGCTCAGTTCGACTACTCTTATATACTTAAAAAAAATACAGAAATGTTTCTGTCCACTTTAACTGTAGACCAGACATAAAAGTTACATGAAAGTTCTAGAAAATGGAATTATTTTATTTGGTTGCCACAGTACCCTTCGAAGCCGGTTAATTAAAATGCTGAACGTGTACGTATTCCCATCGGTCAGAAGCAGCAATGG